AAGTATTTAATTCAATTAAAATTAAAACTCGGATCGAAACAAGAATCAATAATTCTATGAAAAACAAAAGTAAAAAAAATAAAGTTAAACGAATTCAAAGTTTAAAATCAAGTTGTAAATAAGCACAAAACAAAATTAAGAATTATGTCTGCAGTAAATAATATAAAAAATACATATTAGAGACTAATTATTTTCATACATATTGATGCGTTTATCGACATAAAGTGTGTTTTTCTTAGATAGAATATATTAAAAATTCAATATACAATATATATTTAAATGAAAAGATGGAAAATTTATTAAAATTATTTATACAAAAAAATTTATATTTGTATTTAAATTGTAATTATTTTATTCTTTTAATTAAAACATAGCTCAATAATAAAATATTTAAGACAAAATAATAAATATTTTTATAAAGGATATATATATATAAAATCGAAAGCATATATATATATATATATATGACTATATAGATATTATCTTGTACAAGAAAGTATTATAGCTATTTTGGTTCGTTTATCTTACTTAAAGTGAAGATAAGAAAAATTAGACCCTTGATATTTCCTTAGGCGAGTAGTTACGTTGTTTTTCTGTCCTTCACAATGAAATGCGAGTGCAAAAACCTAGCAGTGGTCATTGCACATTCCTATCACTTCTTAAATCTATTTATGTACTTTTACTAGTCGGAGGCACGCCCAGTGTTTGCTTGGTTAAGAGAACCACACCCTTCCCTGTCGAATTTCCAAGAACAAAATTTATGGAGAATGATTAGTAAAGAGTTATCGAAATATTGAAGTATTCATTTAGCAAATAATTATAAATATAGTCATTTTCAAAACGTAACGATGATATATTTATATATTTAATTTTGCAAGTTTAATTCTAAAGAATATAAAATGAAGCCATATAACACGACTTCCTTACAGTTATAAAATTAAATACAAAAGTTATAATTAATGAGATAAATTTAAAAGCCTGACTTATTTTTACTTTATTAAAATTTTAGCTTATATTTACATTTAATAATAAAGAAAAAGTTTTCAGATCTGATTTTTATGCAAAACTTAAAATAGATTTCCAATCGAATATTTCATAAAATTATGATTGAAATCTGATTAGAATTTAGCAACAGAAATTAAATTATATGAAAATTTTATCAAAAATCAAAGTATTAAAAAATAAATTATTTTGAATTTATGATAATGAAGTTTTACGAAAAATAGAAAATATAAAGTAAAGTGTATCTTTAGAAAAATCTATTGAAAAACTTTAATTATTTTAAAACTTTCAACTGCAAAAGTAAAAATATTTTTATATTTGGAAAAGAGATTGTAATTAAGTTATGTACGATAACGAACAAAGGAAAATAAATTTATTTTTTACTTTAATATTATAAAGAAAATGTATTAGTTATTGTTATAAATACCAGCTAATGGTAGTTACAGATTTTAATATAAAATATTATTTAAATAAACTATTATCGATTGAAACTCCTTATGCCTCTATTTATTTAATTTCGTTATAAAATGAACATAAATTTAACAATTTTGTATTGTTAATTCTAAATGTAGCAATATTATTGCATTTTTCTATTCAAAATTTATTAAATTATTTAACTTATTTAGTTTAAATATTTCAAATTTAATTTTAAAACTTAAATGTATTTAATATAATACAGGTATATACTTAAGAGAGATTGCTATTTCGTTACAATAACCTGTTAATACAATTATAATATTTACTTACCGTAATAAACTAGAATCTCTTCGTTAAATTACGCGTTAAACTATACTACGAAGTAATGAAATAATAAACAAGTGTTCTTATTCATTCTTTATTGGAAAATAACGGTCTTATTCGATTAGAAAATCAGATAAACAACCCTTGAAGTAACATTAAATGATGATTGTTGTTTAATCGACCAATTTTTCAACGGCCAGAACACAGTAAATATATTAAAATTTATCGCTAAAGCAAACAACATCAATTACTCTTTGAAGAATATCTCTTCATTCATGTAATGTAATAGTATAATTTAACATAATACAGTAGTGTCATTCAATGTTTTAATGTACGAAAGATATTTTTAGTTTAAAAAAATTAAAATTTAAAAATAATACTCTATTTTAATTCTTCTACTCAACTAAATCTTCATTATTTTATTAAGGTTATTATCAACAATTAAAATATATACATTTAAATTATTTATTTTTACAATAAATACTTTAGAAAAAGTTTAGAAAAGATTTCATTTTTACAGAAAATTTGTGAAATTATTAAATAAAGTTTAAACAATCAAATTTTATGATAATTTTCATTACTTAAAATATTAATTAGTACATTACTTTAACGAGAGAAATTAATAAATATGTATTAATTTCTCTCATTAGCGAGTTTAAAATATGGAAATACTGTATTACATTTATTTTGATTTTAGTCAAATGTAAATTTTAAAATATCGGTTGGTGTTAAATGTAGATCTTCGAAGATCGTATTACCGAAATGTACGATCATGTGACCAGTACCGATCATCTCTCAAACGCCCCTCTTTCTATGCAATTTTACAATCACATTACTTCGGATGCGAATTTCACAATGAAATTATTTATTAGTATTTTATCATTATCAGGTAATGTTTAGGTTAATTAAAATTTTCATTTAAATTGTAATTTCGAATGTTTAAAGAGTTTAGAGAGTTAATATTCTCTGAACTCTTCATTTGTTTAGTTTTAACAGAATCGGCCATTAAAACTTGGACGGATAATACGAATTTTGATAATTTTAACAATTGGAATTTAAAGAGAATTCCCAAAGAAAGCGACGTAGCGATAATGACAGATAGTGAAATGGCAATATTTATGCCAAAATCTCTTATTGTTAAGGAACTGGTAGGTTAAATGAGTTTTCATCTTTAATCTACAATATTTATCTGTAATTATAATATTATCTTGTACAAGAAAGTATTATAGCTATTTTGGTTCGTTTATCTTACTTAAAGTGAAGATAAGAAAAATTAGACCCTTGATATTTCCTTAGGCGAGTAGTTACGTTGTTTTTCTGTCCTTCACAATGAAATGCGAGTGCAAAAACCTAGCAGTGGTCATTGCACATTCCTATCACTTCTTAAATCTATTTATGTACTTTTACTAGTCGGAGGCACGCCCAGTGTTTGCTTGGTTAAGAGAACCACACCCTTCCCTGTCGAATTTCCAAGAACAAAATTTATGGAGAATGATTAGTAAAGAGTTATCGAAATATTGAAGTATTCATTTAGCAAATAATTATAAATATAGTCATTTTCAAAACGTAACGATGATATATTTATATATTTAATTTTGCAAGTTTAATTCTAAAGAATATAAAATGAAGCCATATAACACGACTTCCTTACAGTTATAAAATTAAATACAAAAGTTATAATTAATGAGATAAATTTAAAAGCCTGACTTATTTTTACTTTATTAAAATTTTAGCTTATATTTACATTTAATAATAAAGAAAAAGTTTTCAGATCTGATTTTTATGCAAAACTTAAAATAGATTTCCAATCGAATATTTCATAAAATTATGATTGAAATCTGATTAGAATTTAGCAACAGAAATTAAATTATATGAAAATTTTATCAAAAATCAAAGTATTAAAAAATAAATTATTTTGAATTTATGATAATGAAGTTTTACGAAAAATAGAAAATATAAAGTAAAGTGTATCTTTAGAAAAATCTATTGAAAAACTTTAATTATTTTAAAACTTTCAACTGCAAAAGTAAAAATATTTTTATATTTGGAAAAGAGATTGTAATTAAGTTATGTACGATAACGAACAAAGGAAAATAAATTTATTTTTTACTTTAATATTATAAAGAAAATGTATTAGTTATTGTTATAAATACCAGCTAATGGTAGTTACAGATTTTAATATAAAATATTATTTAAATAAACTATTATCGATTGAAACTCCTTATGCCTCTATTTATTTAATTTCGTTATAAAATGAACATAAATTTAACAATTTTGTATTGTTAATTCTAAATGTAGCAATATTATTGCATTTTTCTATTCAAAATTTATTAAATTATTTAACTTATTTAGTTTAAATATTTCAAATTTAATTTTAAAACTTAAATGTATTTAATATAATACAGGTATATACTTAAGAGAGATTGCTATTTCGTTACAATAACCTGTTAATACAATTATAATATTTACTTACCGTAATAAACTAGAATCTCTTCGTTAAATTACGCGTTAAACTATACTACGAAGTAATGAAATAATAAACAAGTGTTCTTATTCATTCTTTATTGGAAAATAACGGTCTTATTCGATTAGAAAATCAGATAAACAACCCTTGAAGTAACATTAAATGATGATTGTTGTTTAATCGACCAATTTTTCAACGGCCAGAACACAGTAAATATATTAAAATTTATCGCTAAAGCAAACAACATCAATTACTCTTTGAAGAATATCTCTTCATTCATGTAATGTAATAGTATAATTTAACATAATACAGTAGTGTCATTCAATGTTTTAATGTACGAAAGATATTTTTAGTTTAAAAAAATTAAAATTTAAAAATAATACTCTATTTTAATTCTTCTACTCAACTAAATCTTCATTATTTTATTAAGGTTATTATCAACAATTAAAATATATACATTTAAATTATTTATTTTTACAATAAATACTTTAGAAAAAGTTTAGAAAAGATTTCATTTTTACAGAAAATTTGTGAAATTATTAAATAAAGTTTAAACAATCAAATTTTATGATAATTTTCATTACTTAAAATATTAATTAGTACATTACTTTAACGAGAGAAATTAATAAATATGTATTAATTTCTCTCATTAGCGAGTTTAAAATATGGAAATACTGTATTACATTTATTTTGATTTTAGTCAAATGTAAATTTTAAAATATTGGTTGGTGTTAAATGTAGATCTTCGAAGATCGTATTACCGAAATGTACGATCATGTGACCAGTACCGATCATCTCTCAAACGCCCCTCTTTCTATGCAATTTTACAATCACATTACTTCGGATGCGAATTTCATAATGAAATTATTTATTAGTATTTTATCATTATCAGGTAATGTTTAGGTTAATTAAAATTTTCATTTAAATTGTAATTTCGAATGTTTAAAGAGTTTAGAGAGTTAATATTCTCTGAACTCTTCATTTGTTTAGTTTTAACAGAATCGGCCATTAAAACTTGGACGGATAATACGAATTTTGATAATTTTAACAATTGGAATTTAAAGAGAATTCCCAAAGAAAGCGACGTAGCGATAATGACAGATAGTGAAATGGCAATATTTATGCCAAAATCTCTTATTGTTAAGGAACTGGTAGGTTAAATGAGTTTTCATCTTTAATCTACAATATTTATCTGTAATTATATAAATAAAGTCAATTTTCTATCTTAGTTAATTTTGAATACTTATAGAATATTTATAGCGCAATAATTTCTTTAATCAAACATAATTATTATATATTTAAATAAAATATTTTAGCTTTTGCCAGTTAATGGAATGTTAGTATTTCCAACTAATGGCGAAATGCGTCTTTCTGAATCAAATCTTCCAAGTGAAGGTAAATGTAATGTTTTCTTTTAATAAATATTATAACTTATTTATCAATAATTTCATTTGTTTTATTTAATAAGACAATAATGTCTTATTAAATATAACAAATTATTGCCTATTTTTGCTTAAAAGTAATATTAATATATCGTTATTTTAAATTAAAAGTTTGTCAATTAGTTGGATACATTCTCCTCTTTCTTAAGACAAATTTATACGTAAAGAAATATTATGGATTTCAGATATAACTTTTATTGGAGGACGTTCCAGTTATTGGTACGATCCAAAAAATTGGAATGTTACATCACCTGAAGCGATTAATGTGGTAGGAGATAAAGATTCATTTCCAATCCCCCATTCGGAACAAGTGCCTTGTCAGCAAGACGATATTATATTTCCAATTGATACAACATTTCGAATACTTTTTGATGTAATTCCGTTACAGATGCGATCGATATCTATCAATGGAAAGGTATAGGTCTAGATAAAGAAAATTTTCAAACTTTTCTTATTTGCAAAATAATATATTATTTTTTACTAATACCATTTTCGCGTTTTTCTCATAAATTGGAAATGTTATAGCTACTTAGATCCTCTAATGTTAGAGACTTTCTGACGTCAGATATGGGTAAATTATTATTTGTTAATCCTCCTGATATAACATTAACAGAAGATTTATGTAATAATCCATCCGGATGCGCTTGTGAAAATGATAAACCTCAAGTATGGATTGTATTTAATTATATTATATATAATTTTACATATTTTGAAAAAAAAAATTTTAATTTATTTTTACTAAGATTAAATCGAAAATCTGTATTTACGCTGCACCGAAATGTCCGAAACCGAAATGTGCGGATCCTATTACTCCTCAAGGTCATTGCTGTTCTATTTGTGGTAAATGATAATTTTTTGCAATATCATTAACAGTTGACTTTCCAAGATTAACTAAGATATTTATACGAATCATGAATAATTATGTAACTAAAATATACGTCTTAAAATAATATAAAAGATATATTTTAGAATAATTTATACTGTATATTATTCTAAAACGTATATTGACGTAAACATGTTATTGATATTCATTAAGAACTATTTAATTTAATATAAAACTATACGTTTATTAATAGACTACTTAGGCTAAATTATTGTATAAAATTATAATTTTAATTTAAAAAGTAATACTTTTATATCTTTCGAACTTGTAAAATTAATTCATACATATACTGTATGTGATTATATATAGAATATATATACGAGAATTCTATTAATAAACGTATAGTTTCATATTAAAATAAGTAGTTCTCAATGAATGTCATATTTTTTATATTCTATTAATTTTAATATAATTTTTAAAACTTTTTTCTTATATGAATAATTTATAATCTCTATATATTTCTTTAAAAGAAAAATTCTAGTCAAAAATATTTTTGATATAAAACTAAGATGTTAAATTTAAGAATATATTAACATAAAATACGCAAAGTTAATTGAATAGAATAATTAATTTACAGTGAATTTTTTAGTCATTTGACANTTACTGTACCCTTTTAAGAATATATTAACATAAAATACGCAAAGTTAATTGAATAGAATAATTAATTTACAGTGAATTTTTTAGTCATTTGACAATGGCAATTTTCTAAAAACTCGTAGCGATAATTTAAATTAAAAACAAATCAAAATTATTTTTTATCAATGCTAAATTTGTTTTTAAATTTAAAAATATATAGTCAAAATTTTATGATAGCTTTTATTATAAAACAAATCAGTTATTGTCCATAGACGAAGTAAAACTAAAGAAAGAGATATACTGCAAATAGAATAAGTAAAATAAGTAGCTAAGTAAAAAAAAATATTTGATATGATATTTGATTTCACATTTTGCAAACATTTTTTATAGCTTAAATAATCACGTTGACGTAAAAATGTAAATTGTAAGCTCTTCAGTTATCATTTTCGTTATATTTTGCTACTTTTTTTTAATGCTTCTAGACTCTTCTGAAATCATCTCTATCGATCTTTCTGCCATTTTCTTAATTGAGATTTTTTTAAAAATTGAATCTATATTTACTCTTTGTTTTTTGCGAAATCGGAGACAAAGGTCTCATCTGCTTCTTTCATTGTAATAGCCATCTTTCACTTTCTATTATTTAGTATATATATATATTTTTTTACTCGACCATTTCACTTTTGTAACTACTGTAATTTAATTCTAAACAGAAGCTCATTTGCTAAGAGTAAAAGCTGCTTTATGAAATTTGCATCTTTATTTTATAAGATAAACAAAGATAAGAAACAGCTTTTTCATTGATAGGTAATTTATGCTCAAATTTTAATGTAGTGTAAACTGGTTTTAATTTTAAAATTATTTTTAGTTATTTTTATGAATAACTTCATTACATTTCTCGTAATACATTCTTGTAATTTATCTTATAATAATCGAATCTATTGAATTTATTCCTTTCTTTTTCTGAAATTGCATTAATCAATTATTCGTTAGCTCTTCCATCTTCGAGATTTAGCAACTGTCGAAAAGTTTTAAATGAAATGTATAATATATATATAAAAACTGCATATATTATAATCGTATTTTCAGTTTTTCTCAATTCTTAAATTTCTTCCGATGATTAAAATAGTTCTTATCTGGTTTTGTCAATTCAATCATTTTTAAATATTTTAAATCGATTCGTTAAAAATATGAAGTTATGGATTTTTGAAAATGTAATTATTCTTATATACAGTACATAGGGTTGTGTACCAAATATACTGTATATAAGTATGTACAGTACAGTACGTACAGTACAGTATATTGAGTTTTTTGTATATAATCTAAAATTTATAGTATTTAATATTATCTCAATATAGATAATATTTAAAAAGGCACTCGGCATTTGTGTAGTAGGATAGTACGCATCAAAAACTTTAGTAATCACAGGTTGAAAACACCGCCGTTTCTGAAATTTTCCAGTTTTGTATGCTAGTATCATGACACTTATTGGTTTCTATGTTACGTGCTGCATGAAACGTGAAAAGACAGGATAATCTTGCCAAATCTTTATCTCGATATTTACAGAAGGTGTTGCTTACGTCTTCCTTCCATTGCCACGCAAGGTTGGCATCTTCTTGCAGAGTTGCAAACTCTCTCAAAAATTCCGGATCTTTGTCGGATTATTTATCTTAGAAATGGACTTTTCGACCTATGTTTACTAAGGTTTTTTACGCGGTATGGTATATGCTGTTTGCCATATAAATGATGAATGTGTTTTTAACACCTTGTTTTATAAGAATTGGTCCTCGTGTCATCGGGTCTATGACGAACGATTTTCGGACATTCGTCTTATGGACTACGCGCTCATTCGTATGTGATACTTCGTTTTCTTAACTCGATTTACATACTTAAAATTCGAACTTTCTTATATTTTCTGCAAACAAACAATTTCGATCTATCGTGCGATGGCGTTTATGTCAGTTTTGTTTTCCATAACATATTTCTTTGTAAAACGTTTATTGTCTATTTGAAGTTTTAACATTTTGATTAATGTTTGACTCATTGTAACATTGTTTGTTAAGTTCCATCAAGTCGTTGTCGACTCCTGGTGACTGCATGGACAAGTCTTTTCTTGTCCATGTAGTTTTCTTGGCAAGAGTTGAGGAAGTGGTTTGCCATTGCCTTCTTCCTGGAATGATGTGTCACGCGCGCGCGGGGAAAGAATGCCTTCCGGGAGGACTTTTATGGGGAACTGGCCTCCTATTTAGTCGTTATTGGCAAGGAGAAAACCCGGAAAACTCCAAGCAGCCAGCCTGTCCGATCGCGGCACGAACCCACGACCGAACTTCCCAGTGTTTAGGGTCCAGTCACCCCCGCTATGAGCGGCAACGGAGACCACTCGGCCACTGGTGGGCATTGTAACATATTCAATGTAAAAAAAATAAAACTTTTCTGCCTTAATAAAAAATTTTATGATGTTTCCTTTTAGCTCTCTGGGACAGATCCCTTTTTACAACATGAGACATTTGACTTTCGTACGGATTACGTCGAGATTGCCTTTACCACAAAATAATTTATCTATTGTATTCCTTATCATTTATTTAGAATTTATTTGTTAGACTCAAGTCAAATATTATTTTTCTCATTTGATTTTCATCTTCTTCATTTGAAATTTTTGTATAAGTTGTTGATTTTCACATAATGCAAAAAAATTAAAGTTGACCTATATGACCAACGAGAGGGAAGAGATGATGGAGTAAAATTTCCCGGGCTCTGGATTCATAGGAGCCAGGACATCGTCCTACAATTTTTTGCACGTTATTGTAATATAAAATGCTTAACAATAATTATTGTTCTTTACTATGTAAAATCCTAATATATCCATAAAATACTCGAAATAAATTTTCAAATAATTTATTTACTTGGGGCCTCCCCGGGTCAAGCGATGTCTCTCGACGATCCTGGACTTATAATATCTTGTGGAAATATTTGATGTATACTGTTTGTTTAAAAATTAAACAAATAATGTAAACATCAAACATTTTCTTAAAAGCAAAACAAGAAAGAAATTTAAAAAGAAAAATAGACACTAAAACTTTGAAACGTCGAACAAGGTAAAAATCAATAAAGACGAAAAGAAAAAATAAATTTAACTATTGATACATTTGGAAATTTAAAACTTTTAACAAAAAGAACGAAATTAGAATTTATGAGAAGACGGAATTTTCTCTTCTTTATGCAACCCAGTAAGCTATTCGACGTTAAAAAAATAATTAAAATAAAAAATTCTTAGTTGCTGAAATAAAGTGGCTTAGAAAAATATCAAGTAGGCCTATAACGAAATTATGTAGAATAAAACGCGGGATAATAAATGCAATAATAAAAACATTTTGAAAAGAAAATTGGAATTATTTGGACATTTATATGTAATGCTTTAGACAAATCATCACATTCATTAAATATAAAAATAAATGGGAAAAATTGCGATGAATGACAAACGTTGAGATAAATTGAAAAGATAAAACAAGATAGTATAGACATTATATGTGTGTGAAAATTCCTGAGAGTATAATTTGTGTCTATAAGTAAGTTTTGGGTGTATTATATTTTTATTTAATTAGGTCTATACAACTTAATTTGCTATGTGCTAAGAGCAGGACCGTCGACAGCTTGCACGGGACCCGGAAGTGAAGCTGGTCCTTTTTTTTTAATAAATGAAATACGTACAATGTTTCCTTATTGATAAAAAGTAGTTTTAAAGATTTTATTTTTTATTTTGAAAATAACATTAATTTATACTGATAGAAACTACTACAGGCCTCTAAGCATCCTGGAAAAGTCCCCAGATCCCTCCCTCTCGATGGCCCTGGCTAACTTGTAAGAGTTTGTATTCTAACGTGATATATTGTGTCCCAGGCACGACAGAAATACAATATTCATCATATAAGTGTTTATCTTTTAATATATATTTTTCGTAATTTTTTGTATTTATATTTTGATCTTGCATGTCAATCATGACCCTTTCAAAGAAATAGCTTTAAGCCAGACAGCAATTTGACGCAGTTTTGTCAATATAATCTTAATTAAAGTCATAGGGAGTCTATCATACAGCTTCTCTATGTCAATGTTATTTATATAGGCTACTGTATATTACATCCAGATTATGTTATTTTTTAAAGTTCAGTAGTGTATTCTTTGTTTGCAGTTATTAGTCTAGAGGTCATTGTTCTTTAATTGTCGTGTTCTTATTTTTTAGTAAAACAATAAACAATGAACAGACAAATAGTTAGCCTACTTCAATTTGTTTGTAGCGAAGATTTATTATGCTCATTTCCAATTATTATTATTGTTCATAAATATTTATTTTTCAGTAACGAAAGTGAGAATTTTCTTAATTTTAAAT